CAGAACATCCTGACTGGCAACTGTTTCAAGGCACTGGAGTTGCACCACCAGATCTCCTGTGTCTCTCAGTCACCAACAGGACAGTGCGGCAGAGAGAGGAGAGATGGGAACTTTGATTGGCTGCCAACTTTGACCCCGCCCCCCCCAGCAAAGGACATTTAGAGGACATTGTGGGATCTTGCAGATTATCAGTGGAACCTACAGTAGGCAAAAAGGGCTGTGGAGGCCACATGGAAAGAAATAACAGCCCATGTGGATGAATCATGCAGAAGGTGGTAGGCCAGGTTCCCCTGAGGATCTTTGTTGGTTTAGTGCCCCTGACCTCTCATGTTGTTACTGATTCTACAGACTCTTGTGCTATTTGGCCTCACGACATGGATATATGTGATAGGAGGTACTCTGCTTATGGGTAGACATGTGTATACATACCTGAACCCCAGCTGTTGGATGTATGAGCTGTGCATGATGTAAGTATGTCATATGCTCGGAAACCTAGAAATGGGACTTTAGTTCCACTTTAAAACTTGTTAATATAAAAATCGCCTATTTATCCTGGCCTCCTATGGAGGCCAATTTTCCAGCTTTCAGAGCTGTCACACTTTTGCTAATGACAATTGCGTCATGCAACACTTTGTACCCATATTACATTTTTAATATTTACATTGAGACAGATAGAGCTTTCTTTTGGTGGTATATTTAATCACCTCATGGGGTTTTTTTTTTATTTTGCTAAACAAACCAAAAACCACTGAAAAGTTTGAATCCAAAAGAAACATTTTTGTCTTAGGAAAATTTTAAATAATACTTATTTTAAGCACATTTAAGTTGTATGTATCCAGGTCATTAATAGCCGTAGTGATGGTTTTTTTGAAGAATTACATTCAATTAACAAGATTGTGGCTTTCTACTAAACAGCTGCAGTATTAAGGCACTTACTTTATAAATGTCGAATCCACTATGCCCTCACAAGGATTCCCTCCCCCCCAGATAAGTGTGCACTGATATAGGCATTTTTGCGATAGCGCACTAATAGGTTACTTTAAACTAACAATTTGCATTTCATATGGGCAACTGCACCCAAGTTAAATTTGCTTTTTTTTTTCCACGAATAGGCGGCACTGATCAGTGACAGCATGATGTGAGCTTTGAATGGTGGCATTTTTATTGTGCTATAAAAAAAGATGAAAATTTTTTGGCAAAAAAAGGCACTATTTTTTTGACTTTGCACTATTACGGCATGCTGATAGGAGGACCGGGTACTGGTTTTGCAGATAGTTGCACTGACTGGCACTGATAGGTCACACTGAAAGCCTGCACTCTATGATGGGTACTCCAGATACTTTGGCTTTGATGTGCACCAATAGGGGTGCATAACGGAGCACTGATTAGGGGAGAATGTGTGGCTCTGTTGACATATGTGGCATATGATGTGGGGTGCACTGGACTGGGCTAGTCTGATGGGATACAACACTGTATGGCCCTTGGAGGCGGCACCATGATATGGCTGCATATGATAAAATAACATAAACACTATTTCGGCATAGACTTTCACTGCATTACCGTCTTCACCTCTACCCTTAGAGGTGCACAAATATTAACAGTGTGGAATATGCTCAGTGATAAAAAACTGAGAAAAAAAGCCTTCATTAAATTATAACCATAATAATTCCATATTTAAATCCAAAAATCAAAAATTCAGCTGTAAAAACAGCTGATCACATATCCAATGTAGCCTTGAACATAGAAAATAAATAAATACGTGTTGTCCAAAATTGATTCAAGGTAAAGACTCCGCTCTGATATCATAAACACTGATTACCTCAAAGCATAAATGTAAAAAACAAAATTGCCACATGCGCGCATTACCTTTAAGAATCAAAATATACTGTGCAGTCCTCTCCGCAGTGATATTCACCCAGGTGAAGAGTTGACATCATAATATCTATACCTATCCACATACACATGTAAGATACCGTGCAAAAACAACCAGTGTCATTGAAATGACTATTCTGTGCTCAAAAACGTACAACACATGCACTTCTAATAAAGTAAGGATGGATACCATAGTCCCAATAGTCAAAAATTTTGGCTTTAATACCGATCCCCCAAAAACTGCAACGATGTAAATAATGCCCTAGATATCCTACCAAGGTGTTATTTTGATCCCATAGTACATATGGATGGCCTATCAGTTTCCACACTTTTATCATAATATTCGACATATACGCCCCAGATACTTACATATATCAGGAACAGAAAATAGTTAATACTGGGACACACTAAAATCCCTATTAATTACAATACTTGCTCCATTAAATACATCTTTCAATCGCGTATAACGTATATGAAAACCTTTCTGCCATCCAGGATCCAGGAGAGTCCCAGTTGCTAGTAGCAGCTAAATTTTCCCCCTCTCCAAGATGGCCGCCGCTCCACTTCCGGTTTTTCTCGCATGCGTCTGACATCACTTCCCTTTGACGCGTTTCGTCATTGGACTAATCATAAAGGGCCTTTATGATTACGTCTAATGACGAAACGCGTCAAAGGGAAGTGACGTCAGACGCATACGAGAAACCGGAAGTGACGTCAACGCATGCGAGAAACCGGAAGTGGAGCGGCGGCCATCTCGAGAGGGGAAAATTAGCTGCTACTAGCGACTGGGCTCTCCTGGATCCTGGATGGCAGAAAGGTTTTTTTATATACGTTATACGCGATTGAAAGATGTATTTAATGTAAGCAGTACTATGAAAATTTTGGATTTTAGTGTGTGGCAGTATTACACTATTTCTGTTCCTTATATATGGGTATCTGGATGGCGTATATGGTGGAAACATATCTGAAGTGCTAGTGTGGAAGGATCCATATAGTACTATGGGATCAAAATAAACCTTGAGGATATCTGCAGGAAGACTTATTTCATCGTGCAGTTTTTGGGGATCGGTATTTTAAAGCAAAAGTTATTTTGAATATTGGTAAGGTATCCACTCCTTACTTTAGTAGAAGTGTACACTGTGTTGTATGTTTTTGAGCACAGAAGAGTGATTCACATACACTGTTTTGCACTGTATATTGCATGTGTATGTGGATATATATATATATATGTATACACTTATTTTCACCTGGGTGAATATCACTGGAGTGACTTCACATGTTATTTTGATCTATAAAGGATAATGCACTATGTATATTTTGTTTTTTTGCTTTTGAGGTAATCAAGTTTATGCAAGAGGCTGAGAGTCTTTACACTTGAATGAATTTTGGACAACACGTATTTATTTTTTTTCTATTTTTCAAGAGGGACATTGGATATTTTTGTTTTTTATAAATTTTTATATTTTGGACTTTAATTGGAAATTATTATGGTTATAATTTAAGGAAGGGCTTTTTTTGATTTTTTTTATCACTGAGCATATTTATGTTAATAATGCTGATATGGCCTACGATGAAAAGGAGTTTGACACCCCTGGCTTAGGTGATCCAAGTGGAAGTTTACCCCCACTCTTCACCTGCTGCCTTCTGGGACACATCACAGGTCTCAGAAAACTGCAGGACCACTCACAAAGTTCAGTGCGGCTCGCCCATGTTCAGTGAGAAGCCAACTGTGAAGCAGCAAACCTTCACACCCGGTTTCCCCTAATTAAGATGCTGGCGGTATGGACCCAAAACCCAGTGAAGAACTAGCCCAGGTGAGGACAGCGCTGGACCCCTGGACAGGTAAGTGTCCTTATTTAAAAATTAGCAGCTACAGGATTTGTAGCTGCTGACCACATTTTTTTTTGGGGGGGGGGGGGGGGGGAGACTGAAGCTCCTCTTTAAAAATATGACTGAAGTTTTGGCTGGAGAATCATAAAAATCCCAAATTTTGATTGCCTGGATTTCCTGGATAAACCAGCGCACAAAATTAACCCTTTGGTCGCCCCACATGTTAACCCCTTCCTGCCCAGTGCCTTTTATGAGCACTGATCACTGTATTGGTGTCACTGGGGTTGTCAGTGACACCAAGTCAGTTCCCCCCCCAGTGTCAGAATGCCCGCCGCAGTTCCACTATAAGTCACTGATCGCCGCCATTACTAGTAAAAAAAAAAAATTTTAGTATCTATACCCGCCATTTGTAAACTGCTATAACTTTCATTTAAATCAATTAACCAATTAATTTACACGTATTGGGATTTTTTTATTAATAGAAGACATGGAGCAGAATACATTTTAGCCTAAATTTATGACGAAATTTGATTTTTTAAATATTTTTACTGAGCATGTTTAATAGCAAATAGTCAAAAATATAGTTTTTTTTTTCAAAATTTTTAGATCTTTTTTTGTTTATAGCACATAAAATAAAAAACGCAGAGGCGATCAAATACCACCAAAAGAAAGCTCTATTTGTGGGGAAAAAAGGACGTAAATTTCGTTTGGGTGCAGCGTTGCATGACCGTGCAATTCAGTTAAAGTAACGCAGCGCCATATTGCAAAAAATGGCCTGGACAGGAAGGAGGGGGGGTGGGGGGGGGGGGGGGGGGGGGGATCCTCAGGTGGGCAAGTGGTTGAGGATCTGGCTTTGTACACAGGGGTACAGTTAGGGGCGGACTGACCATTGGGGAACTCGGACACTGCCCGAGGGCCTGGGGTCAGTAGAGGGCCCCATGAGATATTCTTGGTACCTTTCATAGGCTTTTTTGGGTGTGGTTTGAGTGTGGACGAGGACACAGGGGCTCCATGATCCCCTATTACCCAGGTCCCCATGAGATTTCAGTCCGCCCCTGGGTACAGTCATGTAGGAGCAGAAAAGGGTCTTCCCCAAGCTGTTGTCACAAAGTTGGATGAACACAATTGTCTACAATGCTATTGTCAATCATTGGGAGAGATGTCCTTTGGTCATGTTGTGTATATGTGATACGAAGGTGTTCACAAACCATAGAATGCATACTCCTGCACACCTGACATGTTCGGCTCCCATGTAATATGTCCCTGTGCCATGTACAGGCTTCCATACTGCCCAGTGGATGTTTGGCTGTGAGCTGAGAGATGACGGCAGCACTGATGGGTTCACACAGTTGGGATATGATGGGAGAGATGTCATCTTCTTGGACAAACAGAGCGGAATCTATATCCCAACCATACATGAGGCTCAGCTCAGCACCCAGGAATGGAACAGCCCGGAGGTGAGATGGGGGAAGAAACAGAAGGATTACCTGGAGAACGAATGTATTGAACAATTGAAGAAGTTAAGTGAATATGGAAAAGAAGAACTAGAGAGGAGAGGTAACTGCACTACCTGCACTGTACAATACTGCTTCTATATGTCGTGTCTGTGGCATTACCTATAAATGACATCTTTATAAGCAGCACATTATTTTGATTTTTTTTTATATCAGTGCCCCTGTTGGAGACATTACACAGTCACTAATAATAGGGAGAAAAGACAGTCACTAATGTTAACCCAATACTACATGAAGGGCCTATTTAGATGTGCGGCTATCATTACCTCCTCTCTGAAAAGCAATCTGCACTCTCTTTTCAGAGGGTTTTTAACAGGTGAGGAGGAGGCAATATGTCACCTCCTCACCACCTGTTTAAGCCCTCAAAATGCTGACCCACTGCACCACACCCATGACCATTGCATGTGGTTGGAGAGTGCTTGCACTATGGCCCCGTACACTTTAATAAGTTGTGTTCTGTGGCATTAATGCCTGCCAAATGCAACATGTAGTTTACTTTTTTCCTCATTCAGAAAGAAACCAATAGTGACCACAGTATGTGTACAGCTATAAGTGGCTGCAAACAGGCAGAGCAAGGACTTTCGTTCCAGGCCATGTTATCCATAGGAATGGTGAGCAGGCAGATTGCCGACCTCTTTCAGTGTCTCTAGAGTGATTTTTATCACTCTAGAGACACTGCATGCAGACACCTTTACCAGGAAACCCTTGCTTTGATCATTACCAAAGCCTATCTGTTTAACTTCATTGAGTTACCAGTATTCACTACTGTTTATGGGTCCCACCATTGCTAGCAAAAGACAGCGGATACCACCGTATCAGGATCTTTTAACGTGATAGGACTCAAGCTGCAATCTCTAGTTAAAAGGACCTCTTCCTTTTTAAGACCATTGTTATTCTAACTAGGGTACCTACATATATTTATGCCAGAGTATACATTTACATTGTACTCTGCATACCCTGTGGTAATACCAATGACCCAGAGGGAGCTGATAAGTCAACAAGCCTTCTCTTCCCCATCTTACTGCCGGTGTTGCAATTAAACAGCTGAAGCTTGCTACTTATGACTGTATTTTCTGTTAAATGTTGCACATTGATTGTTTCTATTGTGCCATTGTTCTGCTTGTATGCGTTAACTGGGGTTGTGTACCCTCAACCCATTATTCCTGTAGTCTACTCTTTTGAACCAGTCAAATATAGAAGTGTTCAAGAATTGTGTCTCTTGTATTATTATTCTCTACTATTGAAAAATGTGAGAGTCAGAGTGTCAGAGGTGTCGGGAGGTTTGCAAGGTCACTGGGGACAAGCATTATTGTGTGCTCCAACTGCCTGCTTTTAATACTCCTTTGGCCATCCGGTTGACTGAGCCATAACTCTAGCATTAAAGGTGAACCTTGGGATTTTAGGCATACATGGAGGCAGTGCAGTACAAGACAGTAACATTACAATTCAAATAATCTTGTCAAAAGTTGTGTTTTCAACAAACAATTTTAGACAATTTTAGACGACTATTGGTACATACTAGCATTTTACCTAAACCTAGGGTCTCCGTTTATGAAGTTTCAGTGGATATTAAGTAAGGAAAGAACAGTGAGTGTCAGGGACATGTTGGCCATGGCATAACTGAGGCTTGTAGTCACATGCAAATGCACGGTCCTGCAGGTGCTGTTGTACGTGGCCGTGTGCATATGGCACACATATGTGCATGCGTGGGCGTACGTGCACGGAAATGTGCATTGGCTAATTCTGGCGCACACTGGCCTGTATAGGTGCAGCAGCTGCACTAGTGAATTGCTGTTTGATCTGCAGCTCCCCCCCCCCCCCTATTCCTGTGCCTGATCCTGTGACTGATACCTGTGTTGACCCCAACTTGCTTCTTGGACTCCACCTCTGCCTTATGTATCTGCCTGATCTGCTTCCACCATCACTGACCTTAAATTCTGACCCGACCATTCTTCTGCCTGCTGTTCATTTCTGATCCGCTTATCTGTTACCGACCCGGCCTGTCTGACCCTGCATACATTCTGCTACCAGTCTGCTCTACTGCCTGCCTGCTCTGCTACCAGCCTGATCTGCTGCCAGTCTGATCTGTCACCTGCCAGTCCATGATGTGACGTCTGCCTGCTACCTACCTGCTCTGCTGCCAGCCTGTCCAGCCATCCCATCGGCCAGCGAAGTGCCAGCAATTCCCGCACAGACTACAGGACTGACCAGGCACTCATACCCCGCCGTGCTCTTGTGATTGCTGTCCCACCTTGGCATCAGAGACACCGCTCTCTCCTGGTTCTCCTCTTACCTATCCCGACGCTCCTTCAGCGTTTCCTACAATGGTGCCACCTCCCCTTCCCTCCCCCTCTCTGTTGGGGTCCCCCAGGGCTCTGTCCTTGGACCCCTTCTCTTCTCCATCTACACCTCCTCCCTTGGCAAACTCATACACTCCCACGGCTTCAACTACCATCTCTATGCTGATGACACTCAAATTTACCTCTCCACCCCTCACCTCACCCCCACATTCTCCGCCCGCATCACTCACCTCCTAAACGACATCTCTGACTGGATGTCGCTCCATTTCCTCAAACTCAACCTCTCCAAAACCGAGCTTCTCGTCTTCCCTCCTGCCCGCGCCCCCCCCCCCCATCCTATCCATCACTACTAACATCACCACCATCAATCCCGCCCCGCAAGCCAAAGTCCTTGGAGTCATTCTGGACTCTAACCTCTCCTTCCAACCTCATGTCAAATCACTGACAAACACATGCAGGCTCCACCTCCGCAATATCGCCAAAATACGCTCCTTCCTTACCCCAGACACCGCTAAACTACTTGTGCACTCCCTGATTATCTCACGCCTTGACTACTGCAACTCCCTCCTCACCGGCCTACCCCAGTGCAGGCTCTCCCCGCTTCAGACCATCCTCAACTCAGCGGCTAGACTCATCCACCTCACCCCGCTCCACCTCTGCCACCCCCCTCTGCCTCTCCCTCCACTGGCTCCCTATCGCCCAACGCATCAAATTCAAACTACTCACTCTGACCTACAAAGCCATTCACAACACTGCCCCTAACTACCTCACCGACCTGATTCCCAAGTACCACCCTACCCGTACCCTTCGCTCTTCACAGGACCTCCTTCTATCTTGCTCCCTGGTCTCCTCCTCCCACGCACGACTGCAAGACTTCTCCAGGTCCTCCCCCATCCTCTGGAACTCACTACCCCAATCCATCAGACTGTCACCTTCCCTCCTCACCTTCAGGCGCTCCCTGAAAACCCATCTCTTCAGGGAAGCCTACCCCACCCTCACCTAACTGCTGCTCTCCTTCATTCCTCCTACCACTCCATCCCCCACAGCCACTTCCTCCTGTACCACTACCCCCTCCCTCCTAGATTGTAAGCTCGAAAGAGTAGGGCCCTCTTACCCCTCGTGTGCTGTTCGTAGTTGCTGTAATGTTTCATGTATTGTCCCCCCCTCTATTGTACAGCGCTGAGCAAACCCTTTGGCGCTATATAAACTCAATGTAATGTAATGTAATGTAACACCTTCATTAGCCCTTGAGCGGAGCCATACGAGAGGCCTTCCTGTGCTGTCAGGCTCACAAGTAAGGTACGTGACAGTGAGGGAGATTGTGTCTTGGGTTTCAATATCCCCCATAGGAGGGTGATAGGTAAATGAGGGAGAAGGGCAAAAGTTAGGTAGATAGAAGAGGAAAGGGAACCTCATAAAGTTCCAGGGAGGGGTTCCTGTAACTCTATTATACCGCTTACTCACTTGGTGGTTTTATATGTTTCTCTCTTCTTAGTGCGTCCAGAGGTGAAGGTGTGGGGACGTCATCAACCAGATGGGCTGATGAGACTTCAGTGCCTGGTGTACGGGTTTCACCCCCGTGCTGTGGATGTGAAGTGGATGAGGAATGGGGTAGACCATGTTCCTTCAGATGCAATGAGTCCAATTCTCCCCCATCCTGATGGCACCTATCAGATCAGAGTCAGTGTGGAAGTGCCAACCAAGGAGGGAGACACTTACTCCTGTCATGTGGATCATAGCAGCCTGGGGACTGAAACTCTCTATGTGACATGGGGTAAGTTGAACAACAGAAAACAAGAAATAAGCTTTATGTAAACATAGATTACATTTTCCTTCAAAACTAACCTGAAGCCTGCCATCTCCCCATCCTTTTCCCTAATTGAACATGTGGATATGTGCCACTTGCTGCCTATGCACACACAGGGGAACCACAGGGGAACAAGATGGCCATGTAGACCCATTTTGAGCCCTTTCAGGAACACAGCCTGATGAAGGGGTCCTGTGAGACTCTGAAACATTGCCTTGCTGTAACTATGTGATCGTTCATTAACATACTGTATTTGGACCCTTATTGGTGATCCTTGGTGTGCTGGTGACATTCTCCGTATCTAAGCCAACCTGTCTGTTTTTCTTTCAAGTACTGTATGTCTAACCCAAAGAACAGTGGTCTCCAAATGTGGCCCTTTACTAGCCTTTATCAGGCCCTTGGGGCACTATTCCTCCCAATGATACCAACAGTGGGGCATAACTCCTCACATTGATACCAATGTGGAGGCAGTATTCCTCCCATTAATACCAATGGTGGGGTACTATTCCTCAACACTAATACAAATGATCGGGAACTATCCCTCCTCCTACAGCCCTGGCCAAAAGTTTTGAGAATGACACAAATATTAATTTACCTGCAAGGAAACACATGCAGTCATCATTGCTTTGCACATAAAGGGATTCACAGGCAAGGATATTACTGCTACTAAGATTGTGCCTAAAGCAACCATTTATTGGATCATCAAGAACTTCAAGGAGAGAGGTTCAATTGTCATGAAGAAGACTTCATGGAATCTAAGAAAGTTCTGCAAGCTCCAGGACCGTCTCCTAAAGTTGATTCAGCTGTGGGATTGGGGTGCCACCAGTGCAGAGCTCGCTCAGGAATGGCAGCAGGCGGGTGTGAGTGAATTTGCACGCACAGTGAGGCAAAGGGGAGGATGGCTTGGTGTCAGGAAGGGGAGCAAAGAAGTCACTTCTCTCCAGAAAAAAAGGGACGGACTGATATTCCGCAAAACGTACAGGGATTGGACTGCTGAGGACTGGGGTAAAGTCATTTTCTCTGATGAATCCGATTCTTTAGGGCATCTGGAAAAAACCTTATCTGGAAAAGAAAAGGTGAGCGTTACCATCAGTCCTGTGTCATGCCAACAGTAAAGCATCCTAAGACCATTCATGTGCGAAGTTGCTTCTCAGCCAAAGGAGTGGGCTCACTCACAATTTTGCCTAAGAACAGCCATGAATAAAGAATGGTACAAAAACATCCTCCGAGAGCAACTTCTCCCAACCACCCAAGAACAGTTTGGTGATGAACAATGACTTTTCCAGCATGATGGAGCACCTTGCTATAAGGCAAAATTGATAACTAAGTGGCTTGGGAAACATAACATCGAAATTTTGGGTCCATGGCCAGGAAACTCCTCAAATCTTAATCCCATTGAGAACTTGTGGTCAATCCTCAAGAGGCGGGTGAACAAGAAAATAAACTCCACAAATTTTGAAAAACTCCAAGCATTGATTGTGCAAGAATGGGCTGCCATCAGTCAGCATTTGGTCCAAAATTTGATTGACAGCATGCCAGGGTGAATTGCAGAGGTCTTGAAAAAGAAGGGTCAACACTGTAAATATTATCTCTTTGCATGAACTTAATGTAATTGTCAATAAAAGCCTTTCATACTTATGAAATGCTTGTAATTATACTTCAGTATACCATAGTAACATCTGACAAAAAGATCTAAAAACACTGAAGCAGCAGACTTTGTGAAAATTAATATTTGTGTCATTCTCAAAACTTTTCGCCACGGCTGTACTGACTACTAACCATGAGGCATTGTTTATTCTCATTGATGCTGGGCCCTGGACATTTTCTACACCCACTGACCCCCCTAAGTCTAAAGAACATGGCCCTTTCTTTGAAAAGTTTGGAGACCCCTGCCCAAGAACAACGATGTATTGTTTTGCAGTTTTCCTGCCCTTAGATGTGGTGGCTAAGAAGATTCCTGTAAGTACTGAAAACACTGATCAGTCTTGCCAGAATCAATTTATTTTTAACTTCTTGTGTACTGAACTAAAATCTCTAACAATGTTATTAGATTTTCCATCTATCTTCTGTGAACTACAAAACACATACTCTCATGTAATTGAGGTGAGGTGAGAGGAGGTGTTTGTAGTCCAAATCAGGGAAGCAGCCTAGGGTGATAATGGAGTTCCTTCATAGGTACGCCATAAAATTGTAGGTCACCCTTGGACAAAAAGTGTTTTTACTGTTAGGATCACCAGGTAATAATAAAGGGAAAAACATATCTAAGGACTTCGTATAAGCTGAAATATATTACATCTTGTTTTGGGATCATATGTGCTTAAAATGTTGATCTTCTCACCCACATAAAGCCACTGTGTCCAATGAGAGAAAACCACCCAGTGTCATTTGCAGTCACTAACTTTTTTGCTCATGACCTTTTTTCAAATCAGTCAGGCTCCACCCTGGATCCCGTTGCATAAATCATTAACAAGGAAAAATTCACATGTGACTGGGATACCACAACAAATACCTCCCACTCACATAATTAAAGAGGATCTTCGGTCATTAAAATTAAATAAATAAATGAATTAATAAATAAAAGTCAGAAGGTACACATACTGTAGCTGTTGACATTTAATGAACAGACACTAGTCAAGGGATCCAGCATGTCCTCACCCGGGCTGGTTCTTCGCCAGTCTTTGGGTCCCCAGTGTGCCAACTTGACTGTGGGAAGCTGGCCATGACTCCTTGCTGCTTCACAGTCGTCTATCCAATCTGTATGTGCAAGATAAGCTCCACCCTGTGAATGGTCCCGCAACCTCCTGGGTCCTGTACCATGCCCCAGGAGGCTGTGGGCAGTGAGGGGGACTGAACTTCTGCTGGGATAGCCTAGGCGATCAGAGCAGGTACCCGTCAAAGCTAGGTACCCGCCTGCTAAAAAAAATGTTAATATTAGTGGCAGAGGAGGGGGGAGAACTAGGAACAGTGGAACATCCAAATTTTAGTGAAGTTCCACTTTAGGTAAAAAGGATCTGTCGCCCCTTTATTTTATTTGTAAATTTGAATTCCCTTGACTGCTTCATGCTCTTTCCTGTTTTTGCTTTGGAGTGTTACCTCATGTTTTCCTCTGTTTCTCTCTTAGAACCCAACAATGGTCCCCCAATTACCATGATTGTTGGTACGATCATCGGCTGTCTTGTTGTTGCAGTTGCAGTTATCAGTGGAGTCTATCTGTATAAGAGTAAGTGTCAGTACTGGAGGATTTTATGGGGGGATTTAGGAAAGTAATTAGGACACTTCTGGCAGTATGCTCCCTTTACCCTTACTTGTACCAAATTTATGTAAACTGTGTTCCAGTTTCGGTACCAGTACCAACATGGGTACCAGATTCAATGGGACAACAACACACATAGGATGGAGCGTCAGCACTACAGAAACTCCAGTCTCAATGCTGCCCATGTACAGTACATTTCTATGGCTGCTTTGTGATCTTTCCTTTTCGGAGTGTTACCACCAAACTTCTTTAAAGAAATAAAAATACAGTTTCACTGTCCAAATAATTATTTGTGTTCTTGGTCATTTTCAGAGCAGATTAGACTTTGTACACCTGTTAGGACCTAATAGAAATTCACAGCCTAAATTTTCTATAGCAGTTTGTGAGGATCTTGTATTGCCACTTTCCAATATTATCTTCTTTATCTATTTTAGAAAGGGGACATGACTACAAGAGCACTAACAGTAAGTATTCCATTGTAAGCTCTTTTGTGTCAGTATAGTGTGATAGTGTGGTTGTAGAATATTTGTGAGGAATTGAAAATGTGACTTTCCTATAAGATTATGAACCGTACAATTTAAAACAGAAGCCTAGTTTATTTAATCCATCTATGCTTACTGTCCAGATGTCCCGCCAACCCTCCCCCCCACCTCCGCCTAAAAAAAAAAAAAAAAAAATAATATATATATATATATATATATATATATGTGTATATACACTGTGTGTGTGTGTATGTATCTATATATATATATTCACTGCTCAAAAAAATTAAAGAAACACTTTGAAAACCCATCAGATCTCAATGCGGAAAAATATCAAGCTGGATTTCTATAATGATATGGACTGGGTAATGTGTTAGGAACGTAAATATGCCCCATTGTTTGACAGAAATGAAATTGATCAACCTACAGAGGACTGAATTTAAAGACACCACAAAAATCAAAGTGAAAAAATGATGCAGCAGGCTAGACCATTTTGCTGAAATTCACAGCAGCAACTTAAAATGGTCTTTAGTAGTTTGTATGGGCCCCACGTGCTTGTATGCATGCCTGACAATGTCGAGGCATGCTCCTAATGAGATGACGGATGGTGTCCTGGGGGATTTCCTCCCAGATCTGAACCAGGGCATCACTGAGCTCCTGGACAGTCTGAGTTGCAACCTGGTGGCGTCAGATGGACCAAAACATGATATTCCAGAAGTGTTCTATTGAATTTAGGTCAGGCGAACGTGGGGGCCATTCAATGGTATCAATTCCTTCATCCTCCAGGAACTGCCTGCATCATCTCAACACATGAAGCTGGGCATTGCCGTGCACCAGGAGGAACCCAGGACTCACTGCACCAGCGAAGGGTCTGACAATGGGTCCAAGGATTTCATCCCAATACCTAATGGCAGTCAGGGTGCCATTGTCTAGCCTGTAGAGGTCTGTGCATCCCTCCATGTATATTCCTCCCCAGACCATCACTGACCCACCACCAAAACAGTCATGCTGAACGACGTTACAGGCAGCATAACGTTCTCCATGGCTTCTCCAGACCCTTTCATGTCTGTCACATGTGCTCAGGGTGAACCTGCTCTCATCTGTGAAAAGCACAGGGCACCAGTGGCAGACCTGCCAATTCTGGTGTTTTATGGTAAATGCTCTATGGTGCCAGGCAGTGAGCACAGGGCCCACTAGAGAACGTCGGGCCCTCAGGCCACCCTCATGAAGTCTGTTTCTGATTGTTTGGTCAGAGACATTCACACCAGTGGCCTGCTGGAGGTCATTTTGTAGGGTTCTGGCAGTGCTCATCCTGTTCATTCTTGCACAAAGGAGCAGATACCGATCCTGCTGATGGGATAAGGACCTTCTATGGCCCTGTCCAGCTTTCCTAGAGTAACTGCCTGTCTCCTGGAATCTCCTCCATGTTCTCGAGACTGTGCTGAGAAACACAGCCAACCTTCTTGCATTGGCACATATTGATGTGCCATCCTGGAGGAGTTGGACTGCCTGTGCAACCTCTGTAGGGTCCAGGTATCCCCTCATGCTACCAGTATTGACACTGATCCTAGCCAAATGCGTGTGAAAAAACAGCCAGAATACATAAGTAGAGAAAAAAATTTCAGTGGCCTTAACCTGTAAAACCGTTACTGTTTTGGGGGTAATCTCATTGTTGCCAATTTAGTGCACCAGTTGTTAATTTCATTAACACCAATGCAGCTGAAATTGATTAACATCCCCCTCTGCTACTTAACTGACCAGATCAATATCCCAGGCATTTCATTGACTTGATACTATACTCTGCTCAGGGTTACTTCCTCTTTTCCTAAGGCAGTGGCAAGGGGCACTCCTTACAGCTGCCCTACACAGTGATCATGTAATGATTTGGGTGATAAAGCACCTCAGGAAGCAGCCCTTGGCAGCCTGGGCTCAGAGGAAGTGCATTGAATGATGTTGGCATTTAACCTGAGGAAGACTAGGTAACACTGATGCTGGCCATCACTTAATTTGAGAAAAACCAAAGACATCCAATAACTGAAAAAAAAAATACTGTGGTGGACAACTCTTGCATGAAAGTGAATATTGCAGCCGAAACTGCCTTTAATTTTTATTTTTTACTGGGCTATGTATTTATTTAGCTTTTGGCTGGAGTTCACACATGTCCTTGTCCTTGGCTAACCCCATTCTCAGCACACGTCTTCCTCCTTACGACTCTGCCTTCCTTCAGTACTATTGTCCTCCTCCTTAGCAAAAAAAAAAAAACTCCCTCCCTGCAGCATGTGACAATAGTTAGGTCTGGACACCCCCAAAACTGAGACAGGAACAATAGGATACCAATATTCTGTTTAAATTCAGAAGGTTGCGACACAAGTTGGGTTTATTTGGGAAGTGGTGGAGCTCAGGGTGGAGTATCCTACAGTACAGGATGTCATTATCCAAATTATATCCTAAATTAGAGGTGAGAGACCAACCCTTTAGGAAGTGGGTATGAAACTTGTGGCAAGCAGCCTCTCACCGCCAAGCAGCACTCTAGCATCCAGCACCAGTGATGTTGGCAACGACTTAGGACCCGGCAATGGTGATTGCTCAGAAAACCGGTGACTCAGGACCTGGAAATGAAGATCTTTCATGGAACCAGCTGCACTCTGACAGCTGTGACTTCTGTGTAGATGTGGCAGCCCAGTTTCTCTCTTTGACACCACGGCAAATACTACAGCAGGTAGCTCTCCAATACAGCAGCCCTCTTTGATGGTCACATTCCACTTTCCCCATTCCCATTTGTCCTGGCTTCTGCTTCTTTTTCCTCCTTTATCCAGCACCCAACTTCTAGGACTTGTAGTACCACACAGTTTTGCAAAACACTGAGCTCAGTCTCTCTGGGGACTACCTTTCCCACAAGTCTTAGCTCCTCCCAGCAGTCCACAGCCATTCCTGCTGCAGTTCTGCAGCCAATCACAGTGTCCTCTGTATCCTGGGTCTTGGACAGGCTCTCCTCCAGCAGCTGAGGCCCTATGCACATTCTCCTTCTGGTGACAGCCTGGTCCATGTGGCTATAGTCTGGGAGTGCCACAGATTGGGGCTATACAACCTTTCAGCTGCATTCCAAACATTCATTATCAATATTAAGATAGAATACTGCAGAATCTCTTAATGTTTAACAGGCATGTTAACTATTATCAAGACACAGCCTTGCAGAACCTAAGCCAGCACTTTTTACTATACACTATATATCATAAACCTCTGAAATGTATAGTGTAAAACTCTGTAATGAGAACCATAAAACAGACATCCACCCAACATAAAAATACTTAGGTCACATTTATAATTCTACCATAAAATATATTAGTCTGCAGAAAACACAACTACACCAGGCGTGTCAAACACAATTTAATCGTGGACTGCATCAGCATAATGATTGCCCTCAAAGGGTCAGTTGTATATGTAAGACTAGCTGTCCAGAGCAACCCTCCCCCCCTTACATCAGGTGTCAAGAGCCCCCCATCACAAAGTGGGGAGAGAGACAATGCTGTGCAGGAGAGGTGCAAGGAGACACATGAAATGGCCTAGCAGGCCAGATTCATCCCGCGGGTCTTGTGTTTGACACCTGTGCAATACACTTTCCTGGCTGAATATATCTCCCTGTAGAGTCAATATTTAAATGTGTTTAATAATTTTTGATCTGATAACTTTACATCAAGAATAATAACATATTCATATCATACCAATATTTTAGGACCATACACACACCTATATTAGGAGGTACCGGAGGTGGATCAGGCACATTCCATCTCTTAGGTGAAACAGGCATCAGTAACCTATCATATTTGTATTCATTCAAAGGGTAATTCTATGCTGCAGATAAAATTTGAGTTATTAAATCTTGACATGTGCTATACTAGAAATATTAATGTATTTTAAAAACTGCATTTGAGGGAGTGGCAGATGCTGAATGATAAGCATTTTTGACATCCCCTTCACCACTCCTTGTATCTCTTGATTGGTTGGGTCATTTCTGTTACCACCCTCCTCAACCATCAGAAACGTGTGTCTGCATTAGCAGTCTAGAGCTCTCCCATTACCATCAAAACAATGCCCATATGCTATGAATGGTTCTGATATGCTAGATAGGATTTACACTACCTGGAGGAACTCTGGAACTCTGTTAGGTACTTTTTCTTTACTATTTCTGTTTATTTTTTCCATTGCTATTCTATTTTGTAATAAAATTTTTCTGTAAATATTTTTGCTCATCTTTTATTAACTGATATTTTAACATCCGTAAAATTACCTGTAATGCAGCCTTTCTCAACCAGGGTGCCCAGGCACTCTGGGGTGCCTTCAGGCTTCTTAAGGGGTGCCTTGGCAAACTGCCCAAAAATTGTATACAAGCCAGCAGGTGGATCAATCCTGCCTTTTGGTACACAAAGCCACAAGTTTTCATTGTGCACTTTTATGACCTTCAACCTGCCAGCATCCTAACAACCA